CAATGATTGGCACTCTTGTGGTGGTCTCTCATCTATTTCTGACATTTCTTGTGCTGTTTATGTGTAACGAAATTGTATTTCAATGAAACTGTTTCTATAGATTTTTAAAATTAATTTTCAAATCAAATAAAACTGAATTTAAAAAGCATTCAAACATTTCCTATTAATTCTCGCTATAAAATTGCATACTTATTATACTGATCATTAGTAGTGATTCATTACAAAACTAATTCCTAATAAAATCAATTCAAAACACATACTAATAATAAATGTATTCATAAAACAAAACCACAACTCTATTAAACTTTTGAAAATAACAAACTTTTATTTGCTATCCTTAGAGACCACTGAATATAAGACAATCACATCCTATACTTCATGGACTGTCATCTCAGTCCTCATCGCTGTCCGACTCACCTGAATACCAGTCAGGGTTAGTGTTGGCTAACTCCAGGGGCACATACTCTTCTTCCGAGTCTTTATCATCAGTTTTCTCAATAAGAAAGTACGGCTCGGAATAGATAGGAGTGTTCGTGAAGACAGAGGTCTGAGATGTGAGCTCTTGCGGGCTGAGTGGCCTTATAGGCGACAACACCGGCGGGGGTGTGAACCCCGAAAAGCCAGACCCGCTCGACGACACGAATAGGTCGCCCAAATTATGACCGCCCGGTGTGGCCCCCCCGGAGTCAGTGGTGTGGTAGGTCTCGGCTGATGTGTCTGTGGACCAGTTGGGCGTCGCATTTGATGGCGTGTAGGCGTACACTGACGAGGGCGGGGTATTGCTTCCCTGGGGGGTCAGTGGCCTGATAGGCGACAGCACCGGCGGCGATAGGTTGGGGTTGTATTGGGCCGGGTTTCGCGGGCCATACATCAACGGTGTGATGGGCTCCGGGTCCGGGCGGGGCTCGTCCCAGGGCGGGATGAGCCTGGTTTGCATCGATTCATAGGTCTCGGGGCTGGGGGGGTTGTTCAACCAGTCGATATGAGGTACAACTGGTGGGCGTGGGTTTGCAGGGGAATAGGGTTGAGATAAGCCTAATGCGATGTCCCTATCCATGTTTGAGATTGCTGTTTGTTGAGTGCGGAAATTCTTTGAGCACTTTTTGCATAAATAACCACCGTCTATTACTTGAATATTCATAATGCTTGTCCGTCCTAACGGTGCACAGCAGTCAAAACAGTTGTACCCAGCATATTGAGCCCATGTATGCCCGCCACGAGTTGATTTGACTCTAATTAACTTATCCCCGTCTCGTTTGCCCATTGGTTTGTCTCGTATGTGTCACTCGTATTGATCTCAAAGACTGTCCAAATATTTCACTTGAATATCACTTATGGAATGATTACTCAAAAACAATTGCTTTGATTTTAAATTTGTTTTAAAAATTCTTTCAATAATTTGCGCAAAAATTCTTAACTTTTTTGTTTTAATTTTTAGACTAATTCTTGCGGTCTATTTGTTATGTAAATTATACCTAAACTTACTCTCACTGTAATACACAAAAATATTCATACAATTGGCATATCATTGAAAATCTTACACATTAACCAAACATTAAAACTAATTTCTAAACACATATTTCCGGAATCCTTACATAAAACCAAATCATAAACAAAACAAAAAACTTTTCTAAAAAACTAACTTATTTCCTATCCATAGGACTATTGAATATAAGACAGGAATCTATATCTCAGAAACTGTGGTCTCATTCCTCGTTGGGACCGAAAGCCGAATGATTTACGTGGACGTCATCGTCAAAGTTGGGCTGAGGTATGGCTGCCACGAACCGCGGCTCCATTGCCCGGTGGAGGGGCGACATAGAGGGAGGTGCAGCTCTACCCCGGGCACCATAGCGAGGGCGAGGGGAGTGCGAAACCTTGGTAAGCACCGGGAGGGGGAGTGTGAAACCCCTGGTTAGGACTACCTAGTGGTGTGCCTACGAATGGCGACGGGTTTGTACTGCCGGAAACCGGACTCACCTGACGACGAACTGGCGAACAGGTCTCCCGGGAGGACACCCTCGGAGTCAGAGGCCGACGACCCGACCGAGCCGTACGTCACGGCAGAAACTCCTGACGACGCCGGCGAAGCCCATGGCTGTGGGGGTGGGTTGTGCTGCGGCTCCCATAAGCGCGGTCTCGTGAATCTGCTTCTCAGCGGTTGACCCCCAATACCCGGTCCCCTAATCCTGGGACCCCCGCGACCAGGCGGTGGATATAGTGGCGACTGAGAGCCACCCCATCCCGCCGGCGCTGCCTGTCCCTCCTCATCGGACCCCTCATACGATCTCTTTGTCCCCCTATCTGTCATTGGTTTGTCTCGTTGTGTGTATCACTTGTTTTGATCCAAGGATTTACTAAAGAACTTGATTTTGATTTGTCTTACCGTATGATTACTTAGCAATTGCTGTGTTTTGCATTTGTTTTAAAACTTTTAAAATTGTTTGAAAAATTAAATTTTGGTTTAATTTGTTTTAGTGAACAAAATGTGAGTCAATTGTATTGTAACTAGGAATGAAATAATAATGTAATTAAAAGTGGGTATTATAAACGGTGGATATGTGTATTACTGTGATTAATACAAAACTTATTCACTATTTTGATCAGTTTTTGATTTTCAAAATTTTAATCCTTTA